CCTCCATTATGATTAAAGCGATGAATTGAAATAAAACTTTAAGGAATTACTTGAAAGTAATATCCAATCATAAACATAAAATCAAGAACTTATCTTGGACATATTCCTCCATGTCCTGGGCGACTTCTTCAACCATACATTTGCTTGTCATTTTGTTCACCCATACCTCCATGGTTCAACCCATTAATTTATGCATTAATTCTTAAATTAATGGGTTAATATCCTTTCAAATCTGGGATCTTATTTCAAATTGATCACTGTTAGTTTGTTGGGCATTTGTTTTTAATGTATCAAATGTTGTGATCCGAATCTTTTCGCTGTCGTGGACTTGTAAAGTCAAAAAGTGTCATAGCGAGTCCCTGAAGTATAGTGTGGTTCCTAGCTCCGTGTTTGGAGGTTAAAATAATAGCTCTTTTTTATCGCGAGTTTTAACAAGTATACAATTCAATTCAATTAGACATTTATTTCCATATTGGTGAAAATCAAAGGAAAGCAAACAATTACAGAACAAGTATTCAAATCAAAGATAATTAAGAACTAATTGGAAAAAACCCTAATGACAGGAATTAGGAGTACACCAATACGGGGGTATTTTCAGAAGCCAAAAGGAGGCTTATTATTGAAATGCCCGTGGACAAAAACAAACTTTACAGATGAATAACAAAAGAATAACACGATCCAGTTAGCAAAATGCATACATTTCGTTTGTTTTTTTACATACTTTGAATGTTGGCATGATCATTTTTACAAAACTGTTGTTTCCAAACACTTGTCTAAAAAGTTCTGCAAGATACGCGGTGCAGCATATACGATTATGATACATCAACATATACGATGATGTACGATGTTTCTAGACTGTTCACCATGTTCAGTGTGCACTCTGTTTTTCTTTTGGTCAGTGAAGACATTTGGCGCTTCAAACACCTGACATAAACAACTCGGCTCATTGTTTATACGCTCATTAACGACGGTAGACAGGATAAACGGGTGTTGATTATTATCTGACAGACGAGGAATTAACGGCTAAATACCCAATGCTAATCTAATTAGGTCACGCGTTGCGCACACAACAGACGAGTATAGCGGTCGGCTCTTAATTAGCTTGACCCCACGGAGCCGGGGTCAAATGTCAACAGGTCAACACGGTGCAGCTGGCTGTGCATGGCTATTTTCCTTTGATTGTTGACGAGTTGATGGAGAAGAGAGACCTGTTACATTACATGTGTCGTCCTTGGACTAATTAGGTAGCGAGATGACAGGTTGTTTCTCGGAAGAGGTCTGGTTAACATTGGCTGGTGGCTGGAGGGACACTTGTGCTGGGCCGTGTGGTTCAGTGCATGATCCATCGTTCTTTAAGCAATAAATTAACTTCATGTCGTGTTTAAACTTTAAAGTTGCTGTAGCTACTCCACACCCCTAAACGTTGAGCTTATTTTCAGTCCGCGCGAGTTTCTTGGATGCGCGGTCTTTCAATTTGAACTTGGAGACCAGTGGTCACATATTTGTACACGAATTTAGCCTCAACCTAATCATAAATTGGAAGTGTTGCTCTTTGCATTTTTTTTTGACGTCATTAATTATCTAGATTATCAGCTATGCGGTCTTGAAATGGGATTTACGCATCTGCTTGGACGTCGTACTAACGTCTTGCACAGGCTGCAATTCGAAATCGAGCCAAACAGTTACTGAAGACATGAGCAAAAGAAACAGCTATTCTAAACAGTAACGGTTTATGGACCAACGCTAAGAGTGCATGATTGAAGCTTGGCCAATTACTCTATTACAAAGCAACCCCTGCAACACTTGACATTCAACGTAAAGTGGAGAACATAACCGGATTGCTGGCCCATAATTGCAATCATTATGACCCTTAAATTGTGCCCCTTCTTGGGGTCAATAGTGGGGCCCCTTCACGGGCCTAATCCGTGGCCGGCTTTATATACCCTTGGCTCTCCGTGAATGCACCTCCTCAATCTCCGGTGAAGAGGTACACGGAGGGGATTTAAGCTCTGCTGCCCTGTCCCACCATGGACCGCCCACTGCGCTTACAAGAGACCGTAGTACCTGGTCGGGATGATACCTCATCCTTGGTGTATTGGTGTATTACAACTCCGGGACAAAAGACCGACAAGTTCCGATCAATACTGCCCACTTGTTCGCCTCCACCACGGCGTAATGTTACTACTCATTTTGTCCCCGGCTTTGTTCCTCTATGAACTAGGGACCTTCTCACGAACCAGTTTGAGCCTCATCTTTTTAAGACCATCGTATTCGTAGGAAGATAGATAAAACAAAATCAAATCCCTTTGGTCTTGTGCTCGGATGAAAGTTGGCTGACTAAAGTAGTATTTGTTGTTGTCGTTGATATTGTGGTCTTAGATTAGAACAAGGATTGTTGTGATCGTTCATGTTCAGTCACGGGAGCATGGACTTGTGAAGAGCTTTTTTTGGCAGCGGGTTTTTGGAAGCAACAACTCCCCCGTGCTCAGGCTAAAGTAGCCCCGAGGAGATAAGCTGATAAACACATGGGACTTGCTTATTAGATGTACAAATAATCAAAGATTGTTGCGGCGTGCTGGGCGGTGGTCACTCTGCTCTCTCTCGCAGTGATACCGGTCTGTTTCTTTGCTATAGATGAAAGTTTCAATTGTTAGTCTGGTCAAACCTGAAAATCTGTCCCGCTTTCGAACGGTCAGCCTGTTGCAAAACACGGCATGATGTCTGATTTATCCAACAAAATGGCTGCACAGGAAAAGGTTTCCCAAGAAAAGCATTTCAATTCATCGTTGCCGTCAAAGCAAACTTGTGTACCAAAAACCTGTTTCTTATTTTGTCTGGAATTGCCGTTAAAATTACACCCACGATCATGGCCACAGTAAGCTCCAGATTGGTTGACAAATTTACAAAATTCACGAAGAAAGCAAACATTTGTTACTGCAATTCAAAGGGATCTTTTGATTCAACATGTGTTCAACTTGCATGTTAATCCAGGCCCTGTAAGTGCTAATTGTAAAACCGCCACTACTCAGCGGTGGGCATATCCTTGTCCGGTGTTTCAGGGTAATACTGGCCCGTTTATTACCGTAGTCCGATCCCGTGGACATGTCCAAACCATCGGCCCAAGATCTCCCCGTGCCTTACCCCCCTCCACTTACCAGCCCCGCGTAACAAATCTCTCACATTACCGATTCCGTTGACAAGTTTATGGGCCGTTTACCGGCGCGTTTTGCTGCCAAAGTGAGGGGGATCCACATGGGAACAATTTGGCTTCTGTTAAGGATCGGTTTTTTCTCTTTTTTTTTTAAGAAGGGGCGATGGTAATTTACGATCTGTCGTTGGAGACAAATCGGTACTGGCTGTGAAGACTTGGCTTGACCATCGTGCGAACTTTGGCAATAGCATTAAGTTTTGAGTTAGCCTAGCGTTTAGATCATCAATAAATACAATATACACCCAACTATTTCAGAAGATTCTTCATAACTCATGAACAGCGATGAAAGAGAAGCGAACGAAATTGTCATTTTTGACTCTTTAAAAAGACAATTGATGGCAAGAAATCATGTTCTTATCTACCTTGGAATGGGCAAACTTTTCTAACTTAAGGAAAAATAGTGGTAAAAACATGTATTTCCACAAAAACGTCCCCAAATTCTGCATCCCTTCTTCTGCATGGTAACATGAAGATGATATTTCGGATACTTTTTGCTCAAGTTTATGCGAGAAATGGTCGTATTAGTGCGAGTAAAAGCGGAGGTCTTGCTCCGTCCAGCACATTCTTGCCCGGTTAAATGACATGATGATATCGTCACATGCCAAGAACGCGCACGCGGTTCCCTTCTGCGCGATACCGAATTCTTTTCTCGGTTACAAACCGCGGACCAGTTTCGGCATACCAGGACTCCGTGAGGTCCCGGTATACGGGGTGAGCTGGGCGCTCCTTCACCCTTCATTAGCTCCGCGTCTGCTCGCCAGCTCGACTTAATCACGGTGTTATCTAATAGTTAATTCCAGCCCGATTTCTCTTTCTCGTGTCGGGCCGGGTTCCCGTAAAAGAAAAAAAAATACACCAGGCCTTCAACACCATCTTGTAATTAGAACCAGAGATGGTTGGTGACTGTTATTCTTGATGTTATCAGAACCGGATCGAATGTCACTTCTGGCTGGGGGAGTAAACACGACAGAATCCAGCTGATCAACTAATTAAGCAATCTATTACCTATTGATTAATTGGGGTATCAAATACCAGGGCTAGCTTTGAATGTTAGCTGTCCGTCAATGTTCTCGCAACTTCGCAACATATAGTTTTCAAAATGGTCATCTCGTGTAAAATACATGAAAAAAAATACAACGAAAATTGTATGGGACGCCGAATCGTAATTAACTTTGGTGTCAGTGATAATCGCTGCTGAATGAGCGCCCTCTGCGTTGTATCCTTGCAACAATTTGAAATGTGGGACTATGAATGATTTGACCTGACCTTTGTACACAAAAAAAATGGTGGATTAAGGACATGTAATATGTATAGGACAAGCCTGCATATACCTTGTGAGTGTATCAAATACAAGCTCACGATAAACATGGAGCAACACAGAGGCATGTTTATGGTCTGTGTCAGTCGCAAGCTTCACAGCATAAAAGAACACACATTAAAAAAAAGGTCATCAGTAAGCATGCACATACAGTCATCTATTCTGCCATATTATTTTTTCACGGTCGAGGGCCAAGTGTCAAAAACCTTAAAATTCTTCAGGATGGTTAACAGACACTCTAATAACAGTTGATGGTATACACGTACCGAGTTGTGGTCTCGCCGATTTCACAAGTAAATGAGAACAAGGTATCAAATCTGAACAGAGCAGGGGATCCCGGCGGAAAAAAACACACGACCAGCTTTGGAAACCCCGCCCACGCTCTGAATATGCATGAAGAGAGAAGACTGGCAGCCATTGATTCGCCGGTGAGTGCGCCGTCATATGACAGCCGGCACGCATAATTATACACACATGGCTGCATAACACTGCCCCGACAGGCCGTGCCCACCAATCGCCGCCTCCGACTGATTTGGAAATGATGTACTGCGTACGACACTCACTTAATTAAAATGTGTCTGTAGCGTCATTCATGCTCGGTTTGTCGGAGAGTGCCACCGGCGCACTGTGTGTTAGAGGAGTGGGCTGGACTTTCGCGTGAGTAAACCTGGGGAACCTCGTCCATGCGCCTGCAGTTACGGCCAAGCATAACACAACCGGCCTACACACAACACACTATAGTGTCAACTCCGGTACATGGTCGACTCACACATTGTTACGCGTCCACAACACAAAAGGGACCAGGATTCAACTCTCGAGTGTTCCCGAGGTGCCAGAGGTTTTTTTTTGTCTTCTTGTTCATCTTTGGTTGACCTGCTGCCTGGAGGGCCGATCATCGCACTTCCACCTCAGCCCACCGTGTCTTGCTCTGCCTTGCCTGTAGTACCGGTGCGAGAGGGCCAGAGCCCCCACGGCCCAGCTCCGTGTTTCCTGGCCGCGCAGCCACACCGACGCACGGGGTCTAACCCGGGTGCAGGACACCCCGGTTGCCCCCTCTGATCTCGGGGAATTCCTTTTAATTTCAGCTCTATCGCCTCGAATTAATGACCAGCTCTGGCGTGTTTGGAGTGTGTTGACCTAGTGTCTGAGTGACTGTTCACCGGCTGGCGTGGATCGCCCGTACTGGAGGAGTAGTAGATCGCCCGGACCTCCTTACACTTCAGAGCGACAAAAGTCGCTGTCGTGCATTCTAAATGGCACAGGTGAGAGAAATGACAGGTCGGGCTGCTATCTATTACCGTAGCGACCGCTGTAGGCCTGACAAGCACGTACGGGGGAATGTGTAGGGGATGGCGGCCGTACGCAGCTTGTCTCTTCCCCGGTGGGATTGCCCGTGGATAGGTCGCTCATCTTCCGACCCCCATTCAAATCAAGACTCTGGTTCTTGCAAGGGTTTTTTTTTTTCATCATCTTCAAGCTCTTTGGCTTGGGCCGGCAATAACTTAGACACACGTCACATGTACCTAGAGGCGATATGTCTATACACTGATCCGGTATTCCGAAGTCGTCGACATCATTATTATGTACCGTGACTTGACAGACTCTGCCATGACCATGCATGATAACTTTTTTGCTGAATACAGTTGCGAACGTCAGAAACAACACTACTTCGTCGCTATAAATTTCTATAGATTTTGCTTTTTCCATGGTCAACGACAACACTTCCCGTGGACTGTACAAGTCGCCTGAAAATGTCTGACGAAATTCTATGTTCAAAACGGCCAGTTCCATGTGTTTTTGCGTTGCCGACTTTTTGCCGTTATGCTAATTATGTTGATACCGAAACTCCGAAGCACTATGTTGATATTTTTGCCGAGCTATGAGTACATGTATATGGAGGCACCAGCCCGTAACGGACGGCTAGTTGCGTTGCCGTAGGCTTTCCCTTGTCATGTTTTGTAAAACCGCTCTTCACCTGTACAAAACCCATATCGTGAACATTTAGCACTTGTTTCGTGCCCTTGAATCGCCTTGTTTACACATGGTATATTGCATTTTGTATCAATCGCATGTGTGGAGAGAATCGCAACTTTCAGGCTGAGTTGTAAATCTATAATTTGTGTGTTCTTTTCCCTTTGCTGTTTCGCAGGAACGGTCCGATCTGTTATCCAGCCACCGACCAGGCTTCAGTGCCGCCACGGTCGGGGCCACCTCGTCGTTCTCCCCGGCCACGCGCCTGTCGCACACGCCGACCGCCACGGACTTCCAGCCCCCGTACTTCCCGCCGCCGTACAACATTCCCCAGCCCCAGTCCCAACTGGATTTCCACCACCCTCATGTGAACACGGACCCATACGCTCACCTGAACCCCATCCACCCGCAGGCCCAGCACCAGTACATGCACCCGCAGCAGCGCTCGCAGCACATGCTGCGCTCGGGCCGGGACGAAACGGACCACTTGAACCTACACCACCCGGGCATGCAGCTCCCGCCTAGCCGTGACTATTCCGGGGTGCGTAGGCCCGATGTCTTGGTCCACGGCGGACCGCACGGACTCGGCCCCGAGCAGACTGATCTCGCAATGTTGCACCACCCTGGCGGCTTACACGGAGTGGACGACACAACGGTAAGCGAAAATCAAAAATACCTCATTCAAAATTCCCCTCCTTCCCTTCTTGCCCTTTCCTCCTATCCTATCTCTGCAATTCCCCAGACGCCATTGCTCTTTCAGTCAGCCGCTTGCCGCATACATTTAAGAAAATTGACGAGTTGGTGCTAGGGACAAACCAGCAATGGTTGATGATGCATAGATAAAATATGTAGGTAGTTAAATTAAATCACTCAGCGGGGTCGTTTGTTAGGAAAATGACATGGGGAAAAGAGTGCAGCATGCCGTACTGCATCCGAAGCCCCAAATTCTATCCACAAAAACCCTATGTGGCAAAATGTTAAAACGTTTTGTCTTAATTTTGAAGACATGAGAAATTGCTCAGGTCTCCCTGACGAGCTGTCAGTTTTGTACAGTTACCTTTGTGATCAACCAGCGGGCGTGTATCCATGGTTTTAACTGAATTTAGCAGGCAGTAACTGGCACATAATGCACAGGGCACGGCAAAACGTTCATGTCAGAAATTTGAGGTCAAGGGTTGCGATGACCCTTGGCTTAGCCAGTAATCTCAACAATTGTCAATGCATGTCTGCTTAGGCAATTTAAAGGCAGCACTCCCTCGCAATCGACTCCGAGAGCCCTCTGTCATGACTACTGTCTGGATTGCAGGCTACGCACCCGGCGGATTAATATTTGCCATCCTTTTTGTCTTAGCATTTTAAGGGTCAGAATGTTAATGCTCAAGAAAACCTCAATCCTTGGATAGAAACCACTTTTTCCAAATCTATCGCCGATAAACACCATGGACCCAACAGTACAGATACAACTGATCGTAAAATTAACAGTGGAAAAGAAAAGTCTAAACTGTTATATTCCCTCTTATCTTTCAAGCTTAAAAGATGCAAATGCTTAAATTTGACCTTTTTTTTAAAATCCATTTGCTCACTCCATTCCGTAGTACATGTACCAATTTGTACTTTTTTTTAAAAACACGATTTCACTTTATGCGTAGTTAACCCATTCCCCAACTACAACAAGGATTTTTCATGTACCTTCTTTAGATTCTGCCAATGTTGCACGCAGATTAAAACATACTATTTGCCTCAGAATTTCACAGGCAAAACACAACTTGCGCTTTATTTCCTCGACTTCAAATTGCAGTCGTGGCTATATGGCGTGCGGTCGAGGTCTTGCACTTCGTCTGAATTCACTCAGAAACGCTATAGTAGTTCGACACTGACTTTCTTCTTTCGAGTGACTTCATTTTTTTTTTGGCGCTGCGCCGCCCACCTCTCCCCGCCCCTTGTTCATTTATGCATTATGAAGGCCAGTCGAGGAAAATGGGACGAGAGACGAGAGACAAAAGCAGTTGTCACTTGTCACTGTCAGCCTCACTGGTTTTTTTTTTCTTTCTTTTTTCTTTCTCCGAGGCCAAAATCGTGTTACAAATTTCCTGCTGAGTTGGCAGCGCGCGCCGGGTCCACCCCTGCCCGGCTGCACAGCGCGTGGCTCGGTGTGCTCTAGTCGGCTGAATGAGTGCCAACTAAAAAGAAAGTTGTATAGTGAGTGCCCTGGCACTGTTCGCTCATTCCAACCGTACGTTTCACCATTGCACGGTTCATCAGTTAGCTGATCACGAAGCGTCGAGCGCGTCGTGATCTACACCACCGGCCATGCATGCACAAGGCAAATTCCTCCCTCTTGCATTTATCAGCATATATTTCGTGCCTAAAAGAGCTGCTCTCGACTGCGACAAAACCCACAACACCGACCGACAATGCGCCTGAATTGTAATGAGAAAGAGAGTCAAAAAAAAAAGGTTCTCGACTGTCAAGTACAAACAAATAATTCATCCTTGAATGTTTCAGCCTGGAGATTACACTGGGCTTACTAGTACATGTAGTTCAAGGTGACCATACACAACAACTTCATTTATTAGCCCTGGGGCCAAAACTCATTTTGTACATCATTTCTTCATTTGTTAACAGTTTCACATGTGTTTTCGCCATTGGTGACATGAAAGTAAAACATTTCTGATATTGAAATATGCTTTATTTAGAAAAACGATTTAATGACATATAGGTATGCCACACAAACATTTTTTTTTACGATTGATGATTGATTTTCTGAATAAATTAAAGTATAAATGCCCTTTTTTTTATTTGGATCACCCGTCCAGTTTGTACCAATCTACACAGTCTAAAACGACATGTCGTGTAGTCTTGTAGTCTATTGCGTGTTCACAATGTCCACTCGACGTCTGACAAACTACCCTCATTTCTTTTTGAGAATTTGATAGATATGTCTAATGGAAATTTATGACATGTGTACGGCACCCGTACATGCATATCCGATTCGCCGCGTTCAATTAAAAATGCTCTGCTCGAAGACCTTTTTAGGTTTCGCCAATTTGCGAGCAGGAAACCTCACACAGTCATACGCAATTCACTATGCCCTGGTATTTGCCTCGAAAGCCGAGTTGTAATAACATTTTATACTCCAAAACAATGCATATATTTTTGTGTTCTTTCATTGAAGCTTTTGCTTTCCATATTCCACGTTGTTCGATTTTGCTGACACAACAAACCTAACAGTATTTTGGAGGTAAACTTGGCGCTTAAAAAAGTCGACAACACTGTCGCATACATAGCTTTGGCCCCTATACTGTACATGTGTATCCTGTGGGTTATATCTCTTCCAACAGTCATTCCAAAATATTTCAAACGACCTCGAACTGTGGGTTCATGCTAGTACAGTCCTCGCCGCATTGTCGATTTCGCCTCCTGGATGCCCATGTCATAAACGTGTTTTACAAAAGAGGGCGAAATTCGTCTGATACAAGCCATGCAGATATGACCTCAAAATAGTTCGGCAACAAAGCCATTCGTCGAATGAAATTTTCACCAGAGCTTTGTTCGGGATTCCCTGAATATTTTAAAATCATGTTTCTTTCTTTCTCAGTCCATACACGACCTCGTTTCTTGCTCAGTGCTCTACCTGAACAAAACCATTCACAGTGACAGTCTTTCTTTTCTTTTTTTGTGGAAGGGGGGGGGGTTGCAGGAGAGCTGTATTTTATCCTTCTGTCGACCACACATCAGCTGTAAGGGGGAAATGGTTGTTGGTGCACGGATGAAGTAAATGGCCCGAAATCTGTCATCGATGTCGTTAATCTTTTTGCCAGCCAAAACTCGTGGCGGCCGTGAATCACTTTCTCCCCGTGCTGCTCAAGGCATGTAAATCACATCACAGACTGCTACATGCAATTCCTGGTGATTCTTTCTCGAACTTCGTAACTGATTTTTCGTGGGAGGGTCGCTGACATTCAGAGAAAACAGGTTTCTTGTGACGAACATAAACAAATAATTCAAGATCAACATAAAAATTACCAAAAGTTAATCCGTGATAGTGGACAGTTTCAATCTAACCATGTTTGTAGATCAAAATTCTTCAAGTTTTACCACTTACTATACGCCTATACTCAGAAGTTTCATCACAAATGCCTCGCATGGTCCATGCGTTTGCAGATGCGCCATAATAGTTGAATATCCTCGTTACCCCACAACCCCCCCTCTCCTAACCACCACGGATGCCCCTCCCCCTTTCCTGTTGTTTAATGTCTCATCTCCGCTTTCCAAGAACAAAAACTGCTCAAAAGTCGTAAGAATTAATCGTCCTTGTATCATGATTGCCCTCTTGGCAAAAATGTCACTCCAATGAATTTCGAAAAACTACAAGCTAGTACAGGTTAAAAGTTTGAAATGCTAGACACACCGTGTTCACTTCAAATGTAATAAGGTGACCAGTATGTAACTAAACAATGCCAGCCTAAGTCATTCTTTTGGGACTTTCGATTCTTCAGTCGGGCGTTTCTGAGGCTTTGTCACCGGGAGAATATGAATTCCAAGAATGTTTCGACATCGAGCGTGAACATCGAAATGTTTGCCCATACCGTTTCTAGTTCCTCTTTCCTGCGAAGGAATGTGCTATGAGAATTTTTATTTTCAAGAGTTTTTGGGGGTGATATGAAAGCAGGACACAAGAAGTTTGGTCGTTTTATCGTGAAATTGGGGTTTGAAAAGCCAGTCATTTCAACACATATCCTCCTTGCCGAAAATAGGATCAAACTTCTTCAATCATCCTTAGTTTGTGATCGCGTGACCAAAAAAAAGAGAGCAAACATCGCAGTTTTTTAAAACACTTTTCGACCTTAGCATACTTTTCAATTTCAATCTTGATTCCAATCGAGTTTTTCTTTTGAAGTGAGATGTTGTAGATTGCGGAGTAGAATGATTTGATTTGATCTGATTTGATTGAAATTGATTTGATATGATTTTATTTTGATCTGAATTGAAGAAAACCGAGAATCTTTCAACAAATCGCAAAAAAAAACAGGAAGACATGTAATGCCATAAAATACAAATCTCGTAAAAATTAAGGAAAGTTTATTGAAAAAGAGGTCTCGAGTCCTTTCTGGGTTAACTCAGCAGCATGTTTAATCCCATTTAGTTTTGGTTAGGTTCTAAACACAGGCCCCGCCATGTAGCCATAATCGAATCACAGGTGTAATACATATCGCGCTCAATCACTCCAATTCCAATTGGTTAAGTAAACATATACACACAACCAATATGATCATTCCCGAAAAAAAAGTATCAGATATAATAAATGTGTCAACAAACTCACGGCGAGATGGATTCCGGTGTTAAGATTCGTCTCAGATGGTGCCCAAGTTTATTATCCCCACGTGTTTGCATAATCATGAATGCATTGCACGAATTAAAGCATACATGACTCTGTGTGTGTCATAACAATGTCATTGGTGAATCATGATGTCATATAAAGTTGTAAGGTTGCTATAGTTCGGACTGTGTTGTGTAAAAAATAAAGAAGTGTTTCCACAGCTACTACCAGTTCGTTTGTGTCCCTGGTCGACCTGTCCTTGATTCCAGCCCGCAACACCGGGATGAAATCAGATCCAGACGGGGGTTTCTGTCATCAGGACTCGCTCGCGGAGT